TCAGTTACAAACAATATGAATCTCCACTTAGAAATATAAAGAAATACACTATCCCAATTGATTCGAACAAAAAATCAAATTAATTATCTACTGCAAAAAATTTAAAACAGCTAACATCCTCAAAAATAAACACAGCCGCTATTCAAAAATTATTTACGAGTTCAAATGCTCCTTAAGGAACTGTGTTCCTGATCAAACCGAACTCATAAATAATTACATCGGTCACACAACTACATGCCTATCCAGACGCCTTACGTTATACCTATCCGATCACAGCTCTATTAGAATCCATTTAAACATACACACAAACTTACCAGATTGCATCAGAAACATACTAGTAGAAAATACAAACATACATCTAAGAACCTTAAGGAAATTATAGGTAGTAACTGTATTTCAGATGATAAGGTAACCCGTAATAGACCAAAAATAAAAACAACAGGGTTTTCCCAACAAAAGGAACCTATGTTGTAAACCACATTAGACACACCAATTCGGTCACTAGCTCATTTACTAAATCTACTTTCAAAATCTACCACAACTCTATCTGTAGAAGTCATAACATAATTTACCTATTAGAATGAACACTATGCCAAAAAACATATATGGGAAAATCTGAGTGGCCCTTTCACTACAGAATTAATAATTATAGGAATCGGATCAAATCGGCAACCCACGAAAGATTATTATCTGTAGAACAACATTTCCGCCTAGAAAAGCACGATTTTAAAAGCCATGCAAAATTCACTGTAATTGAAAAAATAGAAATAAACCGAAAAGTTAACCTTAGAGGAACATGAAGGCAAATAGATTTTGCGCCTCAAACACTTCGTCAAGACGGGCTTAACCACAAATTGAACAACACAGAATTAATATATAACCAAATGAATCAAACCCGACCAACATTTCTCACCCACACAAGACAGACATGCTTACAGAGCTGTTGAGGTCTGACAGTTATACACACAAATATATACAAATACACACATCACACAAACTCCCAAAAACTAAAAGAAAACATACACTTAACACACACATCCCATTCCCAGCAATCAATAAAACTGTCAAAATAGCCAATGAGGGTATTCTGAAAGTCAGGAATCTCCCATCATCAATCTTAAAAACAACTTGAAAAAATGCCGTTTGATCAACACAGGGACTGACCAAAATTAACGGTAAAAAACGAATGAGAACTACACATAAAGTTCACTTTCTTTAGAGACAGTCATTCACTTCTGTAGTTCACTGCTACTAACAAGCGGGGATTTTTTTCTCCTGATGATGGCCATACTGGCTGAAACTAGTCGAGGAAGCTAATTGAAATAATAAAAAAAAATATTAATATACAACCCAGTGTGTGTGAAAATTTTAATTTTTTAATATTTTTATTGTTCAAAAACTCACATACACACACAGACACACAGACACACAGACACACACACACACACACACACACACATATATATATATATATATATATATATATATATATATATATATATGCAGAGAAACCCTCTCATCTACTCTCATCTAAAAAATTAAATGAAAGAAAGAGAGAGGGAAGGAGAGATGAGGAAAGAGAGAGATACAGTGAAAGAAAAGAAAGGAAAGAAAGGAAGAAATAAAGGATGAAACATGAACAAAAATATTCTTCATTCTTTCCTTTCTTTTTCAACAAAATTTCCTTCCCTTCTCTCTCTCTCTCTCCACTTCCCTTTCCCCTTCTTTCTTCCCTTAATTTAAAAAAAATATATTTGAAATTTTGATTTTTCGTTCTTTTTTTATTATAATTTTTTTTTTCCTTTTTTTTTTCCTTTTCCTATTTGTTTGGATGGATTGATTCCATTTCTAAAAAACTTTCGGTCTGTAGAGTTGAATATAAAAATATTCATGAAATAAATTATAACCAAGATGGATTTTAAGTTTTTCTTTATGAGATATATATATATATATATATATATATATATATATATATGATTGTGTATTTAAGCAACAACCCATCATTTATACATATTTCCTTAAAGACAAAAGACAAAGATTAAGCATTTTGTTTAATTTTCCTTGTGTTCGAACAAGAGCTTTCTTTTCTGGACACAGAATGTGTACAAACTGTTCAATTGTTCTGTAATACCGAGCGCTTTCGGCTATACTTTTAGCCATTATCAAGGGATGATTTTATTTTACTTTTTAACTGGATGTAAGGGTTGTGTGTATGTTTCTAGAGTTATGCGGATGTTTTATTTGCTGAACACTGTCAGCACACATTGTGGCTGTGTTTGTAATTATATTATTGAGCGTTGGCTTTTTCTTTTTTTATTATTAATGGCATTATTTTAATCTTATTTACACACACACACACACACACACACACACACACACACACACACACACACATATATATATATATATACATATATATATATTATTATTATTAATAATAGAAATTTTATAAGTATAAGAAACTACACCTGTTCGAAAACCTTCTGTGTTTTTGATTTGCAAATAATCAAACGAATACCAAAGGGAAAAAGTATAAAAAAAGAAAGAACCAGAACATGTACGTTAGCCGAAAATAATCGTCTAGTATGCAAGTCCAAAGAAAAAACCCCGATACGAATAAGCAAAATATTTAAATAAAGTGCTCAATACAGTGAGTAGAGCAGACCTAGTTAAACCTAAAGAGCCAGACAAACCTACCAAGGTTTCACCTAAGCGGATCTTCAGGGAAGGCTGACTAAAGAGGTTAAAGAAAGAACCTAAAATTTATATTCAATAAACAAAAAAAAAACAAAAAAAAAAACATAACCACGTGACAACCCCCACCAAAAAAAAAAAAACAAGAAAAAACAAGCAACGGGGAGGGTTGGGGAGAACCATTTATTTTAAATGACGAAATAGGGAGGAGGGGTTTAAAGAGAAACACAGATAAGAAGGGGTGGTAACTATATATATATATATATATATATATATATATATATATATAATATGGTCAATGAATTGTCCGAAAACGCTTAGGACAAGAATTATTACGGACAGTTTCTACACTGTAAACCACTTCCCTCTAAGAAAATCTGTCAGAACATTTTCTTTTTTCTTTCTTTGTGCCGTATCCTTTCAGGACGTAGGTGATCATGGCTCTCCACTTCCCCCTATCCCTTGTGGCTCTCAATAGGTTTCGTCCTTCTGCCCCCACGTTCTGTCATCAACTTGCTCAAACCCGCCAGGTATGTCATGTGTTGCTTTCCTGCTGTTCGACCTATGAGTAACAGATTTTCCAAGCCTTCCTTTCTCTTTACGTGTCCCAGAAACTTCATCTGCCTCTTCCTGATGTTAAGTATAACCCTCATCCTTGTTTGCGTCCTCTCCAAGACCTCATCGTTGTTAACACGCTCGGTCCATGATATCCTTAGCATCCTTCTGTAGAACCACATCTCTGTCGCCTCAAGTCTCTTCTTCATCTTTGAGGAAATCGTCCAACATTCGCTGCCGTAAAGGAGAACAAATGTCACGTAACAGCTCAGTACGCTTTTCTTTGATACCAAAGAGATCCTCCTGTCTCTCAATACTCTGCACAGCTTTTGAAATGCATCCTTGGCCATCTACGGATCTCAGTGTCGCATTTACCGTCCTCTGTCAGAACGCTTCCCAGATATTTAAACTTCTGCGTCTACTTGATTCTATTGTTCCCAACCTGCAAATTGCATTTTGGGCTCATCCTTTTACTGATGGTCATGCATCCCGTCTTCTTGTAGTTTATGCTTAGTCCCTTCTTTTTGTTCTCCTTCGCTACCTTCTTTAGGAGGTTTTGGAATTCCTTTACGTGTCTGCTATCAGCACTGTGTCATCTTTGTACGTTTTACGATTATCATGTGTACAATTGATGTCTGCGGAAAGTGGTATTCTATGCGCCGTGTCCTTTCACCTCCCTCTATCCCTTTCAGCTCTCAACAAATTCCTTCCCTCTGCCACCTCCCTCAGGTCACGATCTGTCATCCACTTTCTTAAGCCAGCCAGGTATGTCATGTGCTGCTTTCCTTTGTCTTTCTTTCCCTCTATTCAACCTGTGAGTATCAAATTCTCCAGGCACTGCTTTCTCTTTACGTGTCCCAGAAACTTCAGCTGCTTCTTCCTGATGTTAAGTATAACCCTCACTCTTGTTTGCGTCCTCTCCAAGACCTCATCGTTGCTCACACGCTTGATCCATGATATCTTCAGCATCCTTCTGTAGAACCACATCTCCGTCGCTTCGAGTTTCTTCTTCATCTTTGAGAAGACCGTCCAGCATCCGCCGCCCTAAAAGAACGTAACAGCTCAATACTCTTGTATTTGTTACCAAAGAGATCCTCCTGTCTTGCAATACTCTGCCCATCTTTTGGAATGCTTTCCTTGGCCATCCCAAAACACCTACGGATCTCAGTGTCGCACTTACCGACGTCTGTCAAAACACTTCCCAGATATTGAAACTTCCGCACCTGTTTGATTTTAATGACCCCGACCTAAAAGTCAGAACATTAAAAAAACTTTAAAAAAATGTTTTTCCTTGTCTGTCACATTCAATGAAACATATATAAAAGAAAGATTGTTGCCCAAATATAACATACACACACACACACACATATATATATATACATACATATATATATATATATATATATATATATATATATATATATATAACATTATGAATAGAATTTCATGCAGTTCGACGTTACCCGGTGTGTGTGTATGTCAGTGCGTGTGTAAATAACGGATATCGTAAACAATTACTGTCTACTTTCTCCCTCTCGTGGCAAGAAAAGTACCGATGGATTCTTGTCCCACCCAAATACGCGTCAGGTCACTCCATCCGCCTCCCCATCTTTACCCCCATCTATAACCAGAGATTTTTGTTTTTACTTCGGAGAGCCGAGGTTATTCACTTGTGTACACAAGCAGTGACGGCCCTCCCCAGTCCTAAGAGGGCAAAGTGAACATTCCGTGTCTCTTGCCCGATGTATATG